GACTGAAGAAGTTGATGATGGTGAAATGGAACCAGGTATATATACTAAATCAGAGCAGGAGAAAGACCAAGATTTGAAGCCAATAATTGATTTTCTAAAAGCAAGCATTTTGCGCCCTGCTTGGGAGAAGGTGTCTGGTTTAAGCTCTGTGACAAAGAACTATTGGGCACAATAGGACCAGTTGAAGCTTGAAGATGGTATTCTTCTCCAGAGATGGGAAAGTGACGACCTGGCAAACGGTTATACCGAGAAAGTTACGGGAAGTTGTGCTGCGTTAACCCCATGATACTTTAACAGGAGAACATCTCGGAGTTAAGAAAATATTGCGTCACCTACGACAGAGATTTTACTTGATAGGTATGAGGCAAGATGTGGAAGAATGGTACAGGACATGCAGTACAAGTTGTGCTAAAAGGGGACCTAAGCATAAGGGATGTGCTCCAATGAAGTTATATCAAGTTGGTGCACCAATGGAAAGACTAGCCGTTGACATTGCTGGTCCTTTGCCTCAAACTCGTGCTGGAAACAAGTACATTTGTGGGGTGATGGACTATTTCACTAAGTGGCCTGAAGCATATGCAATATCTTATGCAAGGCCATAACTTCGAATCAGCTTTGTTCCAAGAATGCTGCAAGTTGTTTGGCATACGAAAGACCAGGACAACGCCACTTCACCCACAGTCTGATGGGATGGTAGGAAAGTACAACTGGACACTGGGACAGGAATTGGCAAAGTTTTGTAATAGCCGACAAGATGACTGGGATGTCTTACTCCCTCCATTGTTGATGGCCTATTTGACAGCAGAGCATGAAGCCACTGAATACACTCCAGCAAAACTAACGTTTGGTCGGGAACTTCAGTTGCCAGTGGACCTGATAACAGGACACCCATCTTACGAAGAGTTGCCTGAAAATGTGTCAGAATTCGTGAAAGTGTTATCTGATAGGATGGATAATATTCACCATCAAGTGCGTTCAAACTTGAAAACGTCTGCTGATTCGATGAAGTTATCTTATGATAAGAGATCTACTGAAGTCAGCTTTGTACCAGGAGACAAGGTGTGATTGTATAATCTCAGGAAGTCCCCTAAGCTGTCTTCTCCATGGGAAGTCCCATATGACATAGTGGATCGTCTCTCAGACGTGACTTTCCAGATAAAATGTGGTCGGTGAGGTAAGCCAAAGGTGGTGCATGCCAACAGGCTTTGGCATTATCATGGTCCAGGACATTTCAGTTGGGATAAAGTGAACAATGGAACAAATGACGCTGCTGAAGACGTGTCACCTGAAAACGCCACTGTCGAAGAAGAAACTCGATTCGGTTTTGAGAAGGGAAACAGCGAAGCCTTTGATGAAGTTACTACCACTGATGTGACTGTTACCAATGATAGGACGTTTCCCGATGAAGCAGATGAACCCCACATGAAGCAGAAACCAACGAGATGAGACCAGTATGGAAAAATATATGAAGCGTAAAATTAAGAGACTTTGTTGAATTTTGATTTTGTCTTTGTAAATTCTGTACATTTAACTAAGTTATTGTTTATTGGTTTAATGTAAGTGGCTATTGCTCGGGACGAACAATACTAAGGAAGGGGCAGTGTTACGACAGCGGAGGTCACGTGACCCTTGTAACATTCATGAAACCTCGAGAGGTTACTAGATATGTGGTATTCTTGTATATAAGCCGCCACAAACTGACGGCAACAATGGGTAATCGAACTGCGGACAGAGAGAGACGTGTTGTTGAGCACGTGAGACGTTCGTTGTGAATTACAGCGTGACTGTGGAAATTAAGTGTATTGCAAAGTTGTATTTAGAAAGAATAAACCAGTTTTATTTAAGAAAGGACTTGTATTGCTAATGTTTCTTCGGAAAGAAATTATACGGAAAATTAACTAACGAAGGGAGGCGTAACAACAATAAAAAGCATAAAATGGTTACAAGGTCGATCTTTTGTTTCGAGCCGAGCCGCAGTGAAGAAAAGATAGCTTATCTTGTTTCGAAGATTAGTCAAACTAGTTGCATGAAATCATTACAGGTATTCTTGCCCCCTATCATCGACAGTATAAGGTATTTGATTATAACTGTGTTAAACTGTACATTTTCATTCCTTTTAGTTAATGGTCTAAATATCAAAGCTAAATTTTTATTCAAATTATTTAACTCTAAGAGGCATCTCCTGTTAGTGAATTCTAAATTTTGGCTGTTGTATCCTTTTGTTGTAAGCTATATTTTCAATGCTTTAATTTATGTTAGCTGGAAAACACATTATGGTAGGATCGAGTAATTTATAAAAGTTGGCTCAGAATACCTAATATTCTAAGTTTGATCTCTATAATCTAGTAAATTCGAGGAGTATCGAGAGACTATATTAGATTGAAAGTACAAGAATCATGACTCTGAAGCACTGAGTCGGTTTTGATTTCTGTTAGTATACCACCAATCAGTCTGTGAAGATTTGGTTTTAGTGAATTATTTGGATCTGTATTAGGTAAAGCGTTTATTTAGTTACCTGAGTGATAAAGCATGAAATTGTACAGATAAGTTTATTTTTACGTTAGTTGTAATATATTTAGCATGGTACTTCCATTTGAACATCATTTGTAAACTTAGGCCTATAAGTTACAATAACACACAAGTGAAGTCAGCTTGTAGAAACATCATGGAAGAAATAATCTATTTTGTTATTGTTAAGTGGACTGGACTTGGTCTTATTTTCACTAAATAATTTAAAAGAACCCACCCAACAAAAGAATAAAGTTATAACGTTGGTGTTAGAAGTTGGATTATTTTATGGCAGTAAAATGTATTTCTGAATACACTTGTGGTTGAATATCACATGTTTAAGATGACGAACATATGGTCAAAATGTGAGATCAAAGTGTGACTAGAAATGATGAAATTATTAAAAGAGAGTGAAAAGAAAGTGACAGTTTGAGTAAATAATGTCTACAGTATCTACAGCTGTGTTCCTTGCTCTTTACGATCCCTTATTTGAAGGTTTTTAAATTCCTAATGTTTTATTATCTTGTTTGCTGGCCTTTTTATGCTCAACTATGGGCAAAGGATTACTTGTTATGTTAGCTAACTTTATACATTGTAATGATAATAAACATAGCTTGTTTCTAGCTGATACAGTTTCATGATTATTTACTGTAGCTATTGACTATTTGATTACATTAGTTCGAGGTATAAAATGTTAAGTTGCAGCTGGAGATTGTCATGGAGATTTGTTTGAGAATATAGAGATAATTTATAGTTTCTGTGTAACTAAATTCTCTATATATATAATGCATAGCAAGGGGCAAATATATGCCTATACTCAGACATAATCCCCAGTAAGCACGTATAAAATGTTACCAGCAGAAAAGCAGCCTTTTCAAATACAATATATACATCTAATACATCACTTTAAATAAACCTTCGTGTCTTATAAAGTATTTATTCTTATGAATGTGTCTATTAAAATTTATATTATGTGTATTTATTTATTTTTTACTCCTTCACTTCATACATAATGTAGGGTTTGGCTTTCTAAAGACACCAGTTGTATAGTTTACAAAGCATTGAGTATCTACATGCTACAGTTATCTAATGCTCATCTATTATTGGCTGGTAATTCCTGTTTCAGCCTGTATTTAAGCTTCTTAAGGAACAGATATTTGTAAAAAAGCTAACTTGAAGGGGTAATGATAACATCATTTACACTAGAATTATGTTTCTTAGCTTATGTAAAATATAGAAGAAACAAATCGATTTTTCAATACCTCTACGACCTTCAAAGTACCTTATTTAGTATTCTACAAAAGGTTTGGGTGCAGTATACCAAGCCATTTTTATTGTAGGCTTGCAAGAAAATATTAATAATAATAATAAGAATTACAAATGGGCCGTTTTGAGCGGATTTTCTTTTACTTGTATGTCTAATGTGTGCTTTTTTGTGCATTTGTATATGTGTACAGCCTTAGCAGTTAATAGTAAAGGTTTTAAAGTGTTGCTTGAACTGAATCTTTACTGTTTAAGGTGCTTTTTGCCCTAACGTTCTATTAGGGTTCTGTGCAATTCCTTGTGATTCCTATTATGAACCACTGTTGTGGTTCATGATAATAATCCAGTAACAATAATGACAAGGGATAATGGAAAAATTCAAAGAAATTAGTTTCAGTCAGAAACACTGACGGGCATGATATTGTTAAATAGTAATGAGGGGACGAGGTTACCAGTGCCTGAAATACCATATGTTCAGTGACAGCCCACTATTAGAGGTGCAAATATTTCGTAGATTGAACTAATTCTTTAAATTTTTTTTCTCTATTTGACATTTTGACGTTGACTACAATAAGGATGGGAATTAACTGTTTCTTGTACCTTTATTTTTACTTCTCATCGCCTAAAACAAGCTTGTTTGATGTATTGTCGGAAAACGCCAGAAGAGGAAACGTTCGCTTTTAGGGAACTGCGTGTTTTTAGTCTACTTAGAACTGTGAATTATGATATGTACGAGTACCAACAGAGAAAACAGCATGAGAAATGTTCATGAAGTTTAACATTATTTCAAAAATTATATAATTTAACGTTTTTCATCTCTATCTGTTTTTTATTTGATGTTTAGTCTAAAACTTGTTTTTTTAATAATTTATTACTTTCTATGTAACATAATATGAACTTTGTTTAGGTTTCTTACTTTGAAATGTTAGAACGTTTTGGTTTCTTACTTTAAATACCAGAACGTTTAGGTTTATTTCTTCCAAAATGACAGAATCTTTACTTTGGATAGATTTCGTATCTAATTGGAACATTTCTGGGAATGGTAGCATGTGCTTGGATATACATAGGACAAGGACCTCATTACTGTACCCAGGAAATATATGGAGTGGCGGTGCTACTTGGAGCTGCTTCATCCATCATAGTTATTTGTTCACTGTCCTTTGTTCCTGATCTAGTAGGGACAAATGTGGTGAGTAATTAGTCTTTTCTTTCTCAATTGCTAGAGATCAGTATAGTAAGTAGTTATTGTAATCTATGTGCAAAACCACTTTGTTCTTCATATAGTAGAAAACAATGAGTTAAAAGCTGGTTTTTGTCCCTTGATCCACTAGACAAATCTGTGGTGCGAAACTGCTTTTATGCCCCTGGTGGGACAGTGGTAAGTTTACAGACTTACAGCGCTAAAATCTAGGGTTTTATTTCCAGCAGTGGACACAACAGATAGACCAATGTGGCTTTTCTATAAGAAAACAAACAAGCACATGAGCCAGTAGGGTTACAAGGAATTATTTTTTTACTTCTTGATCTGCTAGAGAAACGTGTGGTGCGGTTTTATGTTTATCATCTAATAGGATACAACAAGATGAATAACTGTTGTTGTTTTTCCTTCATTTTTATCTGTTGGGACAAATATGATGAGAAACCAATCTTTTGCTTCTGACTTAACGTATGCCAGAATTGGTATGTACCTTTCCTTTGTTTTTGATCTAGTAAGAAGTAATGTAATGAGAAATTGGCGAGGACCGATGTTGTCATTCAGAACTAAACAAATCTGTGAGTAATCAATGTTTGGTTCCTGAATCAGTTTTGAATAAGTGGTGAGTAATAGGTTTGATCTAATATAAACTATCGAGTAGTTAATTTCTCATCGCTTTGTAAGTAATGTGGTATGTGGCATATAGTTTTTCTTGGTCTAGTAGAAGCAGCTGTTTAAAGTGGCATGTCTTCTGCTCTGAATACTAAGAGTGCCAGTACCCATCCTAAAATAAATATTTTCTAGGGATTTTCTCCCTCACCTGAGTATAAATTATGAAAACAATGACCTTGAAAATATAAAATTTGTTTTTCTTATAGCACTTTTATTACACACTATTTATTATTACATTATTATTTATCATTACATTATGAAAACTGCAATATTCTTCCAAGATTTCACTTTCGTAACTCGTATCACTTTGATTAAGCCTAAACTTGTTCTTCCTCTTAATTTTAAAAACAACACTAGCAGTCTATTTAATTTTAAAAATAGCAAAACATACCCCCCTCACCTTTCCATTTCTGATGAGGAGTCTTGAAGTTAAAATCTACTCAGTGTAATAGATTCACTTGCTTTGATCTGCATAGTTTTTGGAAGTCTGGAACCACCGAAGAAAGATAAAATCTCAGGTCTGGTTTGGCATTGAATCTCCTTCGGTATTTGGTTTTCAGATGTGCATACGAGGAAAATACTTTCTCACATAAGTATGTTGTTGAAAACAGTAACAAAACTGCAGTAGCTTTTTCTGTCAGCAGAGGGTACTATTTTCTTAGACTCGGCCAAAAGTTGATCATTGACAAACTTCTGAAACTTTTTTTAGTTCATACTCACAGGAGATCTCAATCAATTTATCTTTTTCCTCTGTGCTCAATATCTGTTATGAGAAAGTGGTATCGTCAAAGGGGTTGCAAATCCAGTCATCATCTTACATAGCTGGAAGGTATTTCCTGAATATTGTGTAACGTCCTTTTAGGTGCACAGTTATGTTGGTTTTATTGCACTGATCCAGCCGAAGCTCATTTTCTTCCAGAAGTCATGAAGAGTACTGAAACACTCAGTTTGGTTGTTTTCCAAACACATTTCCCACAACTGCAACTTTTTTATCATAGTTTCATTGATCCTTAGAAAATGTCTGCTAAGTAAGCTAGACTCTGGAGTTAGACATGATTTTCCATACAGCTGATGAGGTGGAAGGATTTCCACTCTATGCTCAAACAAGCGCACAAGGATTTTGTCCCGTGAGTACCATATAACTTCGGTATGGAACAACAGACAATTGTGTGCCTAATCCATTTCTTTACAAAGTAGCTGCAATATTATGAAATTTGTTAGCCGTGATTTTATCAAATTCACTATTTTCACTGCATTGTCCAGCACTTCCTGCAGTCCCTCGGGCATGCGTTTTGCCGCGAGAGCTTGTCAATGGATGAGGCAATGAGCCCAAGAGACGTTTGATACAACCGTTTTTGTTTGAGCTACAAATACGGTATACTTCCCCACCACTGATGTGGTCCTATCAATGCAGATGTCTAGGCAACGGTATTAGTTTATTTTAGTGTCTTAAAAATACGTATTAGTCAAAGTATGTTAATTTCAGTAGATGGCAAAACAACAAGTCTTCTTCAACCATACCTTCATTCATAATGTACGAACACTAGCAACACTAGTTGATTCATCCAACTGTATAACATAATATGGACTATTTTTCACTATCTGTACTATTGTGGTCTCTACATCACTTGACATATCATTAATTCTCCACAACAATGTATTATTGAACAAAGGTATTACGTCAATCTTTTTTGCAGCCTTTTCTCCGAACATGCAATGAATTATGTCTTTTATACATGGACCAATCAAGCTCTCTGCTATAGTATGGGCTCCTGAAGTTTTTGCTACTCGGTAGGTCTTCTGGTTGGTGTGATGAGTCTTGTGTGTTAGCATAGTGTACGGTGTTTGTCACTCTCACTTTCAGCTTTTGCTGCTGGCTAGCAGTTTCTGTGAAAAGGAGAGCCGAGTGAGTATGTTTCTCTCTGCCAGTACACAGTCTCCATCAGCAAGCCCTATGTAGTGCCTCCCTAGTGGCGACACTGAGTGGCTGAGCAGTCCTCTTTAGGATTGCATTGCTCACCTCCGTAGAATGAGGAAAGGGCTAGAAAAGGTGCCATAAAAACTGCCTGCTTCACACCAACCTGGGAAGCATACCGTGGTTGGAAAGGATCTCTTACCAGCAGTTGAAACAACAAAACTAAAATAAAGGTGACCCCTGTAACTTTTGCCGCATGGAATGTGTGCACTCCAATGGACAGTGGACAGTGCACAAGCTGACAGACCAGAGAGGAGAACTGATCTGGTCGGCAGAGAGCTCGCAAGATACAGCATTGACATAGCACCCCTCAGCGAGACTAGCATTGCTGAAAAAGGACAACTTACAGAAGTAGGGGCAGGTTCACATTCTTTTGGAGAAGCCATGTCAAAGAAGACCAACGTGAAGCTGGTGTTCGCTTTGCAATCAAGAATAATCTGGTAAGCAAGCCTTCCAAAGGATGTGAATGATCGCCTCATGATACCCACCACTACTAGGCAAAAAGCATCATTAGCTGCTATGCCCTAACAATGGCCAATCCTTACGATGTTAAAGAGAAATTCTATGAAAATCTCCGCGGTCTGACAACTTCAACATCCAAGTCAGGCAAACTAATCATACTCGGTGACTTCAATGCTCGAGTTGGCACTGACTACGAAACCTGGGAAGGAATCATTGGCAAAAATGGAGTAGGGAATTGTAAAATAAATGGTCTCGTACTCCTGCAGTTTTGTGCTGAACACCAACATGGTCTTCCATCTGCCACCTCGCAACAAGACATCTTGGATTCATCCTTGCTCCAAGCATTGGCATCTCATTGACTATGGCATTGTCAGGAGAGGGATCAGCAGGATGTTCGGGTGACCAAGAGCATGTGTGGTGCTAACTGCTGGACTGACCACCAACTCATCATCTCCAAGATGTATATCAAAATCAAACTTCAGAGACGCCTCCAGGAAAAGAAAACTGCCAAGAGCTTGAAAACTGCAAAACTCAAATTGCTAAACATCAAACAACAGTTTAATGACAAGCATTCAAGCACTCTTGAGACCCCTTAGACAAGATCGAAGAAAACTGGGCCTCCTTTCGTGACACTGTGTAATCCACAGCTCTCGAACTTCTCGGTCCAACCAAACACAAACATCAAGATTGGTTTGATGAGAACAACAAGGATATCACGAGACTGTTCGAGGAGAAACATAAGCTACATAGAATACCTAAATGTCAATTCCACTATACAAAGGTTTCTTACCTTTGTATATATTTAATCTAACCTATATAAAAGACAGTGTGTGTCATGCTTGATTTATTGAAATAGGAATAGTCATGAAGGAACGATGTTCCATATAAAAGTGTTTGGAAGAAAAAGAAGAAACCATAGAAAAACAGTATATCACTCTACGGAGACATAATAATTCAATCTTAAGCAATGAAATTGAAATTACTTCTGAAGTACTCCAGAAATCAGTTTTCGATTAGTTATTATGTTAACTTGATTTAAATTATTTCCGTGAAATTAAATTGAATGGATAAATAACTAGTTTTGCAGATGATTCAGTATTAAGTTATAAAGGAAATTATCATAATGATGTCACCAAAGAAAACAAATAATGACTTGAAATATATGAAGAAATGGTTTAATAAAAACTTATGGTTAAATGCTAAGAAAAAACAGTTTATTTGAGATTTTCTTTAAAAAATTAACAAATAATTAAAAATATTATATCATCTGTAGATGTAAGTTTTAGGTAGTAAAAATATTGAAAACAATTAATTCTACTTTACAGAAACCTGAATATGTTTAATATCTTGGGAAAATAATTCGTCATAGGTTTAATTAGAAAGAAAAATTAATGTAAAATAACTTACATTTATTGCAATAAGATTTTATTATTTGAAAAACCTATTGTTTTTTCATGAAATGAAAAATATATATATTATGACTGGTTTTATTCTTTATCCTACAGCATGATATAACCTTCTAGGGAGATATGTAATAAATTTAAGAGCTTTAATACAGTTAAAAAGAATATTATAAGATATATGTTGTCATTATTATAGTATGATAATACAAAATTGAATTTCAAATTTATTACCATTACGCAAAGTACCTATTCATAAAATATTAAATAAATTTAGCAAAGATGTATACAATTGACAAAAAAGTAAAAATCATTATATGAACAAGAACTGAAAATGAAAACATAATTATTTAGAAAGATCACTTGCAACAAACACCAAATCTTTATATTGAAATAAGATCACTACTTAATGGTAAAATGGAAATATGTATATATATATATATATACATATATATGTGTATGAAATTACTATTAAGAAAATGGCTAAGTAATGATGATACACTTGGATATATATGAATGTAAAATGAGACGATATGAATACTTAAAATGTTATGAGTATTTAAAATGTAAGCTATTATATACTAAGTATTGTTTACTGAGAATCTTGTATATTCGATATTTATGTGTAATTACTAATGCATTTTTTAGTATCACTAATAATTTATACTTAACTTAATGAAGTAAACATGATTCACATTTGAATTAATATCCTGGATCAGGTTAATAAAAACATCCTGAAATAGGGCAAATTTCCACTTTCTTTTGTATAGATTTCTGACTGAATTTAAAGCAAGTACTTAATGAGTTAAATGTGTCAATTATTACTTCCCACAAACCAGGGTATGCAATTATCATTCAATGAGGTCATTAGGAATTTAATAACAAAAGAAAGAAGGAAGGGGAACATTATCTACTGTTGTCCTTTACACAATTTTTGCTAGTATATTAGTTAGAATATTAGTTTATTTTCTATTGTAACAATAATGAGTTAAAAATATATAGAAAACACGCAGTCTTATCCACTAAATCTAGTAATTATTAACCTAATATTTGTAAAAATAACAGAGGTTTTCTTGAGAAGAATGTGATTTGTTGATTATATTTTATGATGTTTATTTATTTACGTATTTTAGGAAAGTGGGGCCTTGGTGTACGGATTTATTAGTTTTTCCGACAAACTTGCTAATGGAGTGGGCATTTTATTTGTACAACACCTGCATTCGTAAGTTATTATGAAATTTTTTATGATTACACTGTGTTATTTTGCGCTAAGTGTTTAGTATAGTACCAGAAATAACTGTAACTTCTTTCTTTAGATAATAAACATTTTGCATATTACATGTAAGAGAAACAAATCTCCTGTCTGCTTAACGGGAAAGTTTAGACTGCATTACAAGTGCCCACCAGTGGCACAGCAGTATGTCTGCAGTCTCACAACGCTAGAAGCACAGATAGCGCATTGTGTAGTTTTGTGCTTAACTACAAACAAACAAAGCGAACAGTACTGACGGTCGGTAAAGTGTGTGAATAACTATGATTTATAGCGTGTATTATAAAACTTGTAAGTTTAAAGTGACGAGAAACGTATTAACTGTGGAATTACGGTATACTAAAAGTTTGTGTCGAGGAAGAATAAACTGGTTTAATAAAGAAAGGACTTGTATCGCTGAAGTTTTTCGAAAGAATTTCTACCAGAAATTAAAAAACAAGCAGATACATAACAAACTGGTGTCAGAGAGTGGGACTAAAAAAAAAGATGGAAACGAGAAATGGCAAATCAAACTACGACTTAGAAGATTTGATGCCAGCAATACAAGAATGACAGAAGATACAAGAAGCGAGACCACATCAGTGGCAAGAAAACCCGCAACAGTGGCAGCTCGAACAGCAAAATAAACAAGAGAGATTACAGCAGTTGTTGGAAGAAAGAGAAAAGAAACAAGAAAAGAGACTACAGCAGTGGTTGGAGGAGAAAGAAAAGAAACAAGAAA